TATACGAAACTGATTCTATTGGACGATGAACGTCTGTCTTTATATGAAACTGATTCTATTGGACGATGAACGTCTGTCTTTATACGAAACTGATTCTATCTGACGATGAACGTCTGTCTTTATATGAAACTGATTCTATTGGACGATGAACGTCTGTCTTTATATGAAACTGATTCTATTGGACGATGAACGTCTGTCTTTATACGAAACTGATTCTATCTGACGATGAACGTCTGTCTTTATACGAAACTGATTCTATTGGACGATGAACGTCTGTCTTTATCTCAAATTGAATCTATTGGACGATGAACGTCTGTCTTTATCTCAAACTGATTATATTGGATGATGAACGTCTGTCTTTATACGAAACATTCTATTGGACGATGAACGTCTGTCTTTATATGAAACTGATTCTATTGGACGATGAACGTCTGTCTTTAAATGAAACTGATTCTATCTGACGATGAACGTCTGTCTTTATATGAAACTGATTCTATTGGACGATGAACGTCTGTCTTTATCTCAAACTGATTCTATTGGACGATGAACGTCTGTCTGTATATGAAACTGATTCTATTGGACGATGAACGTCTGTCTTTATCTCAAACTGATTCTATCGGACGATGAACGTCTGTCTTTATATGAAACTGATTCTATTGGACGATGATCGTCTGTCTTTATACGAAACTGATTCTCTCTGACGATGAACGTCTGTCTTTATCTGAAACTGATTCTATTGGACGATGAACGTCTGTCTTTACATAAAGCTGATTCAATTGGACGATGAACGTCTGTCTTTATACGAAACTGATTCTATTGGACGACGAACGTCTGTCTTTATATGACACTGATTCTATTGGACGATGAACGTTTGTCTTTACATAAAACTGATTCTATTGGACGATGAACGTCTGTCTTTATACGAAACTGATTCTATCTGACGATGAACGTCTGTCTTAATCTGAAACTGATTCTATTGGACGATGAACGTCTGTCTTTATATGAAAATGAGTCTATTGGACGATGAACGTCTGTCTTTATACGAAACTGATTCTATTGGACGAGTAACGTCTGTCTTTATCTCAAACTGATTCTATTGGACGATGAACGTCTGTCTGTATCTGAAACTGATTCTATTGGACGATGAACGTCTGTCTTTATATGAAAATGAGTCTATTGGACGATGAACGTCTGTCTTTATACGAAACTGATTCTATTGGACGATGAACGTCTGTCTGTATCTGAAACTGATTCTATTGGACGATGAACGTCTGTCTTTATACGAAACTAATTCTCTCTGACGATGAACGTCTGTCTTTATCTGAAACTGATTCTATTGGACGATGAACGTCTGTCTTTACATAAAGCTGATTCAATTGGACGATGAACGTCTGTCTTTATACGAAACTGATTCTATTGGACGACGAACGTCTGTCTTTATATGACACTGATTCTATTGGACGATGAACGTTTGTCTTTACATAAAACTGATTCTATTGGACGATGAACGTCTGTCTTTATACGAAACTGATTCTATCTGACGATGAACGTCTGTCTGTATCTGAAACTGATTCTATTGGACGATGAACGTCTGTCTTTATATGAAAATGAGTCTATTGGACGATGAACGTCTGTCTTTATATGAAACTGATTCTATTGGACGAGTAACGTCTGTCTTTATCTCAAACTGATTCTATTGGACGATGAACGTCTGTCTTAATATGAAACCAAGGGGCAAATGAAAATTTGAGTTTGTTTTTTCATGTAATTTAAGATCACAAGACATATTATCAAATGCTATAATATCTAAGTATCTATCATTGATTGCGCTTTGAGATACTAATCTGTGGCTGGGTAAATCAGCGTAAAAATAAAATGGTTCAAGTAAGTGAGTGAGTGAGTTCAAATTTAACGTCACGTCGGCAATATTGCAGCCATATCGTGACAAGAATGTGAATAATAAATAAAGTCGTAATAAATAAAGTCAAATTATAAAACCATGTCAACGAAAGACAGTAAACTACCTAGAGGATCACAGATATAGATATATAACTAGTATGAAAAACTAAAAACTTTTAACTATAGAAGACAATACAATATAAAAACAGGCTATATACCTTTGCTACCTGCATGGACCCTAGCTGGATTTACACCATCACTTCAGCCGTCAGCAATTGGTTTAAGTAAGGATTCTAAGATGCTTCGATGAAAGATCAAAGGCGCCGACAGCACTTTATCTGACTTTATAATGTGCGCTTTTGGCATTACGTCACAATGTATTGGCGTCACTGTGCCATTCTAGTCTGCCCCCTCGTAATCGAACACTTTTGCATTACGTCACAATGTAACCGACGTCACGATGCATGTCAGTTGTCCTCGCCTCGTACGGCCTCCTACAGTAAACTACTCCGTTGCATCCCGTTTCTTGGTTTACAGTTGCTTCTCGCAGCTAACATCACTGGTGGAAACGTTACGTTTATGTTTTCCGACGTTTAAAAAACTGTCTCAATTCGACTCACAAGTTTTCAGCGGCACGGTAACGTTCGCAATATTTACATTCCCACAATGCAATCGTGGAATGTCACTTGACTACTCAGCTTCATCTGGATCTGCTGATCTAAACTTAAGTTGGTAGTAGAAATGCGACGTTCATATTGCCTCATATGGTTTACGTTAATCACAGATGTAATTAAAATAATTTAGAGAAGATATTTAATCCGAACGTAAACCGTCATCAAACTGTTTATCATTTGTTTTTTTCTGGTAACGTTCGTCTTAACGTAGGGAGAACAGACACATCAATAGAATAGGCCAGTTAGCCCTGTGCGAGGATATTTAATTTAGATAACCGAAACCGTCGTTTGTTTTCTGCCTTAGATTAATCGTAATTATCCTTAGAAAGTATTAAATGTGGCATCTTAGAAAAGAAATACAGTTCGCTATACCACCATGTGTAGTGTAATAAAGCAAACTTTTGCCCTGAACTATTATAGTTAAAGCACGAGGACGCACAAGCGTCCTCGTGCTTTAACTATAATAGTTCAGGGCAAAAGTGTGCTTTATTACTCTATACATGGTGGTAGAGCGAACTGTATTTCTGAATTAAATGATGACGATAATATGACCCCTGCTTGTTTTAAATGTAAATGTGTGCCGACAAAAAGCAGGTTCTATTTTTTAAAAAGATGACTAATAATATAATCTCCAATTATGATTGTTATTTATTCATTTCTTAGAGTCTTAGATAACATTTATATTTGAAAAAGTCGGATAAGATCATGTATAATTACTCTCTGTTAAGTATTAAGTAAGCGCCTGTACAGTTTACCATTTTACATAGTATTGATAACATGCGATATTTGCAACTGACTGTAAATGAAACAGATGATGAAATAAACAGAGAGGAATCGGTTTCTGACAAAATGACTGAAAACCAAGTATACATGTTCCATTTACTCGTAGGACGATTAATACGACTAAATGACTTTCAAGAAATCATGGTCACATGTTCGGTTTACTCGTAAGACGATTATTGCGGCAAAATGACTTTCAAGAAATCATGGTCACATGTTCAATTGACTCGTAAGACGATTAATGCGGCTGTGTCAATCATATTTTGCCCCTGTCACTTGCCGTATATTTTAGTCGAAATTACAATGACTACGGTTATAACAAACTACAATCAGAGGTCCATTTGAGATGGTTATAACCTGAGTTTACTGAATTGCCAACTTTAGATATTTGCAGTTAGAAGTCATAGGTATGAGAATATATACTGGAACACAGAGTTTCTCCTACTCTTCGCGATCATTTTATGATTTAAAGCAATGTTTGGTATGTTGACTAAAGTGTTCCATACTAGTCAGCATAATGAGGACAAATGTGAAGATAAACTGCCATGAGTGAGTTAGTGAGTTTTGTTTTACGCCGAAATCAGCAATATTCCAGCTATATGGCGCCGGTCTGTAAATAATCGAGTCTGGACCTGATAACTGGGAACCGAGTCAATCAAGTCAGCGAGCCTGACCACCCGAATATCAAAATTCTAACCCGGACCTTCACGGGTCACACAGCCACGAAATGCATGTTAAGTGAAATCAGTTATTAGCTCTTTGTGATAATTCTTGTAAGGTTTCCATGAAATGTTTATTTCCTCAAACTAATTTAACCTGTATCCATAACCATGTGTACGATTTGCTCGCTCGTTTGGTGTTTTATTGCAGACAGCAGTTTGAGTCGCATAAATTTGGAGCCGCATTAGGCTCATAATCTGCTAATGTAGGATGCGATCAGACATACCTTCTCTTATAGAATCTTACGTAAGTGTTTACGTTCAATACGAAACTTGTGAGGTGACTAATGGGATCGGGTGGTCAGGCTCGCTGACTTGGTTGACCCATATGTCATCGTAACCCAATTGCGTAGATCGATGCTCATGATGTTGATCACTCGATTGTCTGTTCCAGACTTTGTCAAACAGGTGAATTATTGCTGAGTGCGGCGTTAAACAACAAGCAAACAAACAATACGAAATTATTTACATGTATGAGCAAAGTACAGACAGATTTCCTGGAACAGTGGTGGAATAGTGCTTCAAATCATCCTTGTTTGAACATTGAGTGAGAGGCTGAGTTTGGAGAGAGTGGCTGAGTTGGTTTAACGCCGCTTTGAATAGTATTTCAGTTATTGCATGGCGTGCTGATGTTTGAGGAGGTCCGAAGTGATGAATCTCTCACACATATACCACGTGGTGGAACCCAAGAGACTGGATTCGAACTGAGATGATTAGGTTTCTGGCGTGTACGACTGGGCCATCCATGCTTCCAGTTGTGACAGTGGGATTTGGCCAAGTTATAATTTGTTTAAAAATACAGTTCAGTTTTGACCTTTGAACAGTTATAATACAGCTGCATGGTATTGGATAAATCACGATAATGTCTGCATAATACGTTTTGTTTCCAATATGTTTTCCAGGTTTCTTTCTTAAAACAATGACAGATCGTCATCGAACGTTTTCTGACTACATCGGCGTGTTCAGAGAGGCATCTGTTAAAATAAAAGCTCATACAGTCAATGGCTATCACTCTGAAATTGTAGGTGAGTTATCAAATAGAATATATTAACTATTGGCTTATGACTAGTTGCTGGATGCTTAAACCTAAAAGGGGCGGTGCGGTAGCCAAATGGTTAAAGCGTTACCTAACATGATGCCTACCATGATACCTACATTATACTGCACGATATCTACATGATACCGACATGATAGCTAACATGATACATGGGCAGTGGGGTAGCCTAGTGGTCGTCACGCCGAAGACCCGGGTTCGAATCCCCACATGGGTACAATGTGTGAAGCCCATTTCTGGTGTCCCCCGCCTTGTTGTTGCTGGAATATTGCTAAAAGCGGCGTAAAACCAAATTCAGTCAGTCAGTCAGTTAAAAGTAAAAATCCCTTTATGTTTTTGTCTTTATAAGTGTGTTGATAATCGTAAGAGAAGCACGGCTAGTCTTCTGTCCTTTGGTAAAGATGAACAGCACGAAAAAATAGCTGACAGGCCATGGATCATAATCGGAGTGATTTGGGGTTTGGCAGAACAAAGGAAAGCAATCTACACTGAAGTTCAGAGGACATATTATAAGATAGGGTCATTGATATAAAATTTAAAAGAACATGGTTTACTGAAGCCAAGATGTCAATGAAGCGTAAAGGAATAACTATTTCAAAATTCCATTCCTCCTTGTTTGAACTGTTATCTATGAGCCACCTGTCCCACGTTGGCACGACCTCTAGTTCTTAGAGAGTTTCAATTATTGGCTTACATTTATAATTACATTTTGTTCACTAGGGGACGGAACACCGATGGACTTCTGGGATTTCCGCGGATGGACGAGAATCCCTCAGAACAGAGGGCTTAAAGAACCTTTAGTTCTTACTCCACATTTAATGCGCCATGTGTATAAACATATGAAATTCCTACTAATCTTCAGGAATCCGATAGACAGGTATATTGTCAATGTTGGTGACAGCATTACGGATGTTTATGAATTTAACGATCATCTGACGATACCTTTGGTTGTAAATTGAGGTAAATCTTGTGTACAATTGTGTTGCAATAGCTTGAGAAGTACCTCTGTCTTACTCCTCCTTTGACGAATTTTGTGACAAACTAAGACACATACACTGTGTTCTATATTCTACCATGACCTCAGTAAATACTGGATTGTGGTTGGTTAATCAAAGTCATTCAGAGGTATATAATCACGTTTTATACCTCTGATTTTCAAACATGGTATGTTTTTTAAAAAAAATCTTAATAACGCTCTAAATGTTTTATTTAAGCTATTATACTTTCATTATATATCTCTGATTTTCCAACACAGTACGTTTATCTCCTAATTCAACAGATTGATATTGAGTCATGGACAAGTGCAAAGCATTGATAGTTCGAATAATCCTAACAAATCAAATATAATAAGAACTTCATTAATCTAGACAAAAATCGGCATAAACTGTGGATGCTGAGTGACTTTAAATATATCAATACATTCCCAGCCTCATATGTCGGGATTAACGGTCTGGACAATCCGGATTTAACTGTAAATTGGCATTGTTATTTTCTGATTATACTCTGTCTGTTTGACTTTAAAACTAACTGGATATCCAGAGTCTGATGTTTCCAGATAGAAAATGGGTCCGCACAATCCTGGTTCGACTGTATTTTGTTTTTCAGGTTATATTCGGACTACTTTTTCATGAATTATGGACATTCACCTGAATCATTCCATGATCATGTTATCCTTTCCATCAGAATGATGGAGAACTGCATCCGGGACAATTCTTTGAGAACATGCATGTTCAGTTGGAAGATGTACTATCAACTGCCGGTATTTAATTTCTTGAACTTTCTTTTATAACACCTGTGTGTGAGTTGCATTTAACAGCGCTGTGAACTATATTCCATTAACATCAGGGTGCGTCTGTTTAACGTGGGAGGAAACCTCAAAGTAATGCGTGTCTCAGAAGTTTACCACCGCGTGTAACCCACGAGTATAAATGTTCACATGCCTAGAAACATAATCCGTGCCACCATTGAGTCCACAACCCACCCATTCTCAAATTATACCCGCAAGAGCCTCTCTATCCGCATGTGTTGCCAAGTCATCTGAGACTCCACTAATAGCTGTGCAAAGGTAGATAAATTCAATGAGAATGTTAAATTCCTGTGTTCGAACCCTAGATTCGCCTATATAAATATTCCCATGTTCTCCAGTCCCAGTAACTTAATACACAGAAAAAACGTAAATAATCAGCTCCTTAAATCTTAGGTATAATTGATAATAACACGACTATTAGAACCGAATATCATGATTACAGCCACATCCTCTCGTTACAAGTTATCAGTAAGTATTGTAACTTGGCACTAGCACTTTAGTTCTCTCTCTTCATGTAATAGCAGGGGTATGAGTGGCCCAGACACCGGAAGCACCGCAGTTCGTCATCAGGCACGCCAGAAGCTTAGCATATGGTGGTCTGGCATCCTCAATGGTTTCTAGGTTTGTCAACTCGGTGTCTATGCTCGTTAGTATCACCATAGTGGTAAATGTCTGAGAACTGCATCAATTCTGCACTCCCAAATTGAGCTTTCACGAATGTGTATAACTTGAAAAGCGGCGTTAAACGAAGGTTAACCACCCACTCACTTTCAAGCGGGAAGCGGGTTTAGGCACAGCCGCCTATGACAAGGCAATCCTGTACACAACCTATAAAAGTCGGCTCCATCCAGAGTCACCTTGATGTTTTATCTTGTCCGCAAGCACGATGTACGTTCTCGTTGGTTTAACCGAGTTGCAAACACCCGCGATCTCTGTCTCTTTTTATCTGATAATTTGAAATACTACCGAAAGCGGACCGATTCATTTATTATTTGTCATCCATCTTTCAGACCCGACTCCATATTGGCTGTTACTCGGTGTTTCTCAAGGAATGGCTTGCTGTCTTTCCGCGGGAGGACTTCCTCATCTTGAAGACAGAGGACTACAACAGAGATGCACTGGGGACTCTCCGAGACGTCTTCAACTTTTTATTACTACGTATGTTACATAATGCTCAATACCATTTAGTTTTTTTTATATTTTGGGAGGTATTCCAAGAAAAGGTAATGTAAGAAGCCGATAGGTGTTATTCATGTCGATTGAATATTCAAGTACCTACATGATACCAACATTATACATATCATGTTACCTACATGATACTGCATGATACAACATGGTTCAGTTGTCTAAGGTGCCACAATTCTCTGTGCAGAGTTGATGTCCTTGGCACACACCAGAAACGTGTGATCGGGGGTTCGAATCCCGGTTAATTATGTCTGTAGGTTTGTCAGTACCATCACCCGGGTCATGAGTTACACCAACGTGAATCACTCCAGGTTTGTCTCCGACAATACGCTGACACGCTTGGAACTGGGCTACTGTTCACAGCTTCGTTAAACCCAAGCCACTCACCAGCTACATGATACATGTACAAATATAACTATTGACCAACTCAAATCAAAACTCAGATATGTATTAATAATCACAATGAATGTATTTTCAGCTCCACTGAATGAAATGGCTATGGACAATCTCACAGATCTGAAAAGAAGACACGAAACCAAGTCTAAGAAACGTGCTCCTGCAATGAAGAATATTACAAGAACAATACTCCATGAATTTTACGCTGAATATAATAAAGAACTCGCTTTTATACTACAAGATGACAGATTCCTGTGGGAGACATGACGGTGACAAGTGGCATAACCTTCTCTTATGTGTATTATTTAAAAATCGTGTAAATAAATTTCATTAAAATGTTGATAATTTATTTGGAGCATTTTGTGCAGTGTTGATGTCACGGATACTTGTGTTGTACTCCGACGGCATGGGTGCTGCTTATTGTCAACCATTTATTTTAGTGTGCTAAATACTTACATGATACTAATTTGTTTTCTCGTGAAGTCCAAGTAACTTAATACACCTTTTTGGTATTTATGGACACAGAAAAACCGTTAATCATCAGGGTGCCGTTTCACGAAAGCCTCTTAGCGCTACGACGTCCTAGCCGGTACGACCTACTTTAGGATGTCCTAGCATAATGATTTACGACTGTTCCATGAAGATATCGTAAGCCCGTCGTAAACTCCTCTTAAGATATGGGTGTATTTACGATTTACGATGTCCTAACTTGCATAGCAACGCCTATGTAATCGAACCGGAAATGGAAGCGCACCTGTTTAAATTTTATCAGCGAAGAGCCAAACACTAAATATGAATTCAATAAAAGCTTATATGGTAAGTATGGTTAATTACAAACCTGTTGAAGTTTAATGACAGTATGTTACACCGCAAGATTCCATCATCAGTTTGTAAATGTGATGGTTTTAATAGTAAATAACAATATCTGTCTGCTCCGGCAGGACTTGTAACTCTCCTGTGTGGAGATATGGAAGATTGTAATATCAGCGTTGTTCCCCCTCGAAACGGCAGACGACGAGGAAAACATATTATGGACGCTTCGATCCCTAAAAAGAGGAAACGAAATTTCTCCACTGCGGACATTGATATAATCGTGTCTGGCGTGGAGAGTAATTTTGAAACGTTGATCTCAAGTCTCACAAATACGGTCACCAACAATGTAAAGAAGAAGATCTGGAACGATATCACCACGAAGTAAGTTCATTTGTTCCAACGACATGTTACGTGAAACTATCATAAAATCTAAATCTGGCCTATTTTTAACTTTTCTGTTTACACAAAAAGATTGAGAGACATTCCATAACACTTTGTATACGAATTGTCAGACTTATTTCATTCTGAAATAATACGGATAATGAAACGAACTAAATTTGTGGGGAAATGGTTTATTGCTATCAACTATGTTCTACAAAGTAAGAATAGTACAATTATACCAAATTAATTCATTGGTTTATTGATTATTATTTTTTCGTTTTCTCTTGAAACCATAATCGACTCCTTTTCACAGCTGAACCCAAAAATTATTATCTAACAATCTTCCCAGACTAAGATAATATTAATAATGACTGTAATGATAATGATAATCATGATATCATATTTTCAATATCAGACTTAATGCAACTGGTGACATAACAAGGAATGAAGAGGAGGTCCGAAAGAAATGGACAGATATGAAGGCATGTGCGAAAAAATCAGAGTCCGCCAGGAGGCTGAATGCTAAGAGAACTGGTGGTGGACCACCCCCTGATGATCTTACTGTAATGGAAAAGAGGGTAAATAAATACAAAGCATTTAGTTTTATAATGAATACAACAAACTGAGTTTGAGTAACACTAGACATGATTCATGAAAATGAAATTGTGTATGCACTAAGAAACTCAAAACATATCTATAATAATAGTAATAGAGCTACCATTTCCTTCTTTTATTAGATTCTACAATTAATTCCTGCCTGTGCTATTGAGGGATTCAGGAGGCATAGAAACACCTGGTAATGATGAGACTGTCTTCATGTTGTTCATGTACATGTATTAAAGTTACTGAAATATGTAGTTTAATCAAGTTCTAAATATATTTCAAAGTTATTGTATGAAATGTTTACAGTGTTTCTATATAACATCACAAATGTAAAATTTGTTTTACTTTCACAGTCTTCAGCATGATTCCATCTATTGCTGATGAAGCCGAAGTAACAACATTTCTCTTTGGTAAATAATGATGCAAACTCATTTCTTTGTTTTGAAGATGCACAAATATTTTATTTTGCAAAATTTCAAAACCTACTACTTTTCATTTTAAAGTTTAACTCGTTCTTGTCAAACGTAATAAATATCAAATAAATTTATATTTGGTGTAAAGTAGTTTGGGACATAAAAGCATATATAAAATTTAACAGTTACATAACTATCATATCCAATGTTATCATCCAGTTAATGTTGTGTGTGAAAAATGCATACAGTCACAACTGATATGTTTCAGATTCTCAACAGGAAGTGTTCTTCACACCAGTAACTGCCACAGATACAGAAGGCAGTTGTGGAGCTAGCACAGGTGTGACACCATTCCAGAAATTCAGATGATGAAATGCTACCATTCTTTGCAATTTATAATGACACAGTTAAGCAATTCCACTGATTTTAGCTACACTTTTAACATGTTGTCAGTTATAGTTATTTAAAAGAATGCTATGCATTTCAGATAAGACCAAGCTTGTGTGGTGGACACAATGGTCACTCCTGCTATTGAAAAAGTATGTATTTAACATTATTCAACTTTATTGATAAATATTTGTGCACACATAAAAGGTAATTTACTTTGTTAGTATCTCTAGCTAATAACAATAAAAAAAATTCTTTCAAGGAAAAACCTAAAGGGAAGCCTCAGTAAAGAAAACATCAAATGAAGGTATGTTATTGCTTTGTTTACAGTATTTTAGTATCAGTACTGCAATTGTGATCATAAATATTTCATTGGATGGTATTAATGAACATTCACACATCATTGATTATCACACAAAAATGTCTTAATCTTTTCAGAAGACATTCTGGGAGAAATCAAATCCTTTCAAGCACAGGAAGAAAGAAAGATGTATCTTTTGGAAGAAATTCTGTCTGTGCAGCGGGACATCCGGGACATCCAAAGACAAAGGCTGGATCTAGAAAGAGAGAAATTTGAATATAAAAAATCATTTGGAAATTCATTGTCTCCAATTATCAAATTTAATTAAAGGCACATGTTTACTTGTGCTGATGAAAGTTTTCATGTGTTTGTTTTCTTATTTGGATAAAACATATGTATGTAAAAATATATTTTCAATAAACACTAAAAATACTATAATGGAGGATTCACAAGCGTTTCTATAAAGTGGTTCAGGATTTTGAAAACATGCTACCTTTGCCACTTCAGGTAGGACATTTGGATATTACATGGCTTGTGGGTAGTAGTGGTGGTCCATTAATTGAAATAATCGAGGATTGGTCGCAGTGACTAGAAATGTTTTCATCAAATTGAACACAAACGATTTTTGCACACTTGTATGCATCAACAATATCTTTCACAACGCTGGTTTTGACTCCATGAAATTATTGTTCCTAACATACTAGTCATCCTTTAAATATCTTGCAGTTTGCATAAAACCCCAAAGAACTACATGGTTTTTTCTTATTTTTTGTGTACATTAACAAATATAACAGGAACATTTGATAAATGATGCTAACCAATTATTTTCTATGATTGATTGGTTGTAATGGATCAAACATCAATTATGATATTTTAACCAATTCCCAAAACTATTGTGCAGAGAAGGATCACTTACTGGTTATGTGTGTTGAAACCTTGTGTTGATAAGATTTCTCCTGACTTTATATCCATCGGTGTTGTAGTTATCAGAATGAGTGTTGTCCATGTCTGGTCCACTAGTCTCACACAGAACATCTGGCTCAGGCAACCTCAGTAATATTGCCATATTGTGAAGTTGCATGCAGGCAGTAATAATTTTTGATGCTCTTCTCGACTAAATAGCAGGCATCCAGTTTTTCAACGTTGAGAATAGGTTGATCCTCAACGTTGAAAATAGATTGAAAATAGGTTGTATATGAAAGTTTTTTTGACGTAGATATCCGACGTGGAATCAACGTTGAAGTTTGACCGATTATCAACGTTGAAAAAAGGTTGATCCTCAACGTTGAAAATAGATTGAAAATAGGTTGTATATGAAAGTTTTTTTGACGTAGATATCCGACGTGGAATCAACGTTGAAGTTTGACCGATTATCAACGTTGAGAATAGGTTGATCCTCAACGTTGAAAATAGATTGAAAATAGGTTGTATATGAAAGTTTTTTTGACGTAGATATCCGACGTGGAATCAATGTTGAAGTCTGACATATTATTAACGTTGAAAATGGGTTGTTCCGTGGTTGTGTCTGGGAGGTATTACGCTTTCCTGTAAATAGACTCGCATTTCATCTTTAAACTACAATAAAGTAGCACCAAACTCCTGCATCCAGCTAAAATACCCAAAAAGCTACCTGCAATAAACAGTGTTCAAACAGAAAATTGCAGTAAAAATATTTACCTGATAAAATACTTGGTTAAAATTCCACATTCAATATAATGTTCATTTAAGTTTTATGTCAGTTGGACGTATAATTCCAGTAAGAAGAAAAGAGTATTCCAAATTAAGAAAACTATTTACTGTTGTATTGTTACCTTGAAAAGGTGAAAATTGTCCCGAGAAGACATTTTGTCTGAATTTCAGCTCTTAGACAGACCCCTGAATAAACACAATGCAATGCAATTACTTTCACCATGAAAGGGATCCAAGATGACCAGGAACTATACCTGAAGACAGCACATAAAAAACAAGTCACTTTTCATGAAATCTTTATGAACACACACGCACACAGAAAACGTGGTTTAATGCATAATGTAAAACATCACACATGACATAGTCTGTAGGTGATCTCTGTTGTGCTAATAACACAATATCATCTGCATATAGCATCAAAGTGACATTTACGCCACCAATTTCAATACCACAGTTCAGATTTTTCAACACAATTACAACTCCAAAACACAATTATCAGCTCCTCTTCTTTCTGCCACCTCGCCTGGCGGTCAGGTGGATACTTCAGAAACGTTCCTAACTCTTTCTTGAAATTTGCTTCGATGCATTCCCATCTCATTCCCTTGAGATAGGACACATTCTGAAATTTTATATTTAAATACATGAATAAGTTATATGGAAGATATATTGTCTTAAATGATTCAAGCATTTGTTTAATCAATCACTTGAAAGGTTCATTTCACTGCTGTAACTTGGCATGTGAACATATGAACAGCATCAATACAAAAATATGACGAAAAGTGTAAACAATTTATATTTTCAACCGAAGGAATGGAAGTTTTCTTTAAACATTTTCAAAGAAAATCCTCAATTGCAAGTTGATTATTTAATTAGACTATGAATTACCGGTAGGATGAATTAGACGATGCTTTACTGTCATATATTATTTGCTATGGTCATGATGAAAATGCTGCACTTGGTAATTAACTTACCAGAGATGATTGAATACAACCTTGTATTCTTAAAAGAAAACTTGCCGTTTTGCCCATCAACATTCATTCTTGACATCAAATTGTTTGACATTGTCCTGCAAAACAATGGAAGATTGTTGTTATTCTGTCAGATTTAGTTTTTTTTAGAGATTCTCGAAATGATTATTTCAAATTAATAGGAGTTGAACTGATGTAGCAATTTTGCTACCAGGAGTCATAAATTGTAACAAAAGCCATTTTACATTAAATGATAAGAAAACAAAATGGGTGGTGGTTCACAGGTCAAAGAACAAGTCTATTGTGGAGGTCTCCCAACACCATTTGTTCCCAAACACAAGGAAGTATGGATCATGGAGTTCCTGAAAACAATAATGAGCTCTCATAAGTATACAATATATTCTCTATTATCTACTCTCTCTCTTTGTCATTTGTACACTCATAAAACTCAGATAAATAACTTTTTTATAATTCATAAATGTTTACACTTAATCTCTTATAGGAACGCTTAGAAAATCTCTCATATAATGAATTATGTGTGCGTATTATCTGCGACGTCATAACTATGCTTCTCTGAATCATGAACAATAAAATAATGAGATTAAACTCTACATTGCCAGAAATAATCTATCATACCATGAATAATAAGACATTGAATAACATCTCTTACAACTCCAATCTACACTCAAAAAGACTTAAATGTACTCGTAAACAAACATCGCTGGCTAACGCAAATTCTTGGAAACAGTGCATCTCTGACTCTCAATTCCAAGAAATGGAAGTCCTACTCTATTTGACCAAAGGTGACAGGTGGCCAAAACATATTGAAATGTAGGTCATACACTGAAAATAACTCTGATTTAAAACACTACAAATATACACCTTCTCTAATATATACTGATAGATGATCTTAACATGTAACATAAAAAAATGCTGATATCTAACAACACCTGTACTTTAAATAATGGACTCTTCCAAATCTCAGTATGTTTCACTGCACACATATTAGATTGCAAATAATGAAAAACCTACCCCTTGACAATAATGAAAAACATCATATTCAAATTCTACAGCTGACCAAATAATTCGAAGAGTGTGTTTCCCAGCAATAAACATCTCTATATATCTATAAATGTATGACTTCTGTCATCTCGCGTGCTATCTTGCATCCAGCTGTTTACGGCGAAAAACAATATGGCGCCAAGCAAGGAGTGCTCATTAAACTAAACATCTCCGGAGAAATCATTGTCATTTTTTCTCTTAAATGATCAACCTTAATATATAAATGAAAAATAAAGACCAACTATTATCACCAAAAGACTAAACATTATCACAAATATTCAAAACAAGTGGTAATGAAAGAGCATGATCATCTTCTCTTAAACTTTGTGGTGGATATACTGAAAACAAGTGAAATGTTAAAAACGTGTTACCTTAGCCTTGCTTCTTTATGTGATCCACAAAATTGCTGCCACCCAGTCTTCGAAGATGAGATTTCTGCAAATTCCATTAAAATAATCTTATTTCATAATTAAATGTTCCTTACATTAAAATTACTTCTTTTGTATGTAAGATTTTAACCTTTAAGAGACATGAATTATCATATCCCTTCCAAACAAGTGTAAGAATGAAAGTCTGTGGGTGCAGTTTTGTTAATTGTCCCATCAAAGAATCATTAGTGAAGTTACACTTTTTGTAAATAAATAAAAGTTCAAATAAATTATATACAATTTCATCCTTAACAAAGACATTTTAAAGTGAAAATTTTCGTTGCATTTCCTTACGCCATTCTCCACCACCCCTTCCCCCCCAATAATATACATATGTTGATAAGGTTCAGGGCGTGCTCAATGCATCATTTACTGATAGATCTATTCAAACGAACAAATGTTCATAATAATGGGATGCAATATAAAATGTTGATTAATCCTATCCGATTTTGTATAGCTGCCCTTA